TACCCCCCTCGTCGGTGCCTTCGCCGTCCCCACGACTATATGATATGTTGTTCGTGTATTGGTAGACGTTCAGTCAAAACTTCTCGATGCGAGTATTTTAATTACAATTATTCCTCAGTACCATAAAATAATGAACACTTCATCGTTCATCTTCAAATTATACATGCAGCACGCTATTTGTATGAAACTTCGTCTCATAAATAATTTGTCCCCACCGCCGTTCAATCAGAGGGCAAGGGCACCTCCACCCCACGTTCACTCCGGGTTTGCCATTTGGGACGGTAGAGTTCTACGTTCCTATTGATCCATCAGTCACCAAGATTCCATTTTCTCCATTTTTTCTGATCATATTGCACAAAACCAAAATACTGTGTCTTGAATACCTGCTATTATGCCTGGTGTATTATTCCCATGTCCTTTCCAAGAAATAACTATCAATAAATATAAATAATACTTCGGACCACGAGCTAGTTGAATAGTTTGTTTTGAAATCCATTTTTGCTTGATTCAGTACAGCATCAAAAAGGCTAAATATGCATATAGACCAACAGCTAGAAAGGGCAAGTATTATATAACCCTTGTTGTTGGTTTCTTTACTGACTTTTAAGTAATGTTATTCCCAATTTTCCATGCAACTCTAAAAACTACATTAAACAAAGACTCTAACAAAAAAAGTCAGATATTTACACCAAAGTACATCAAACAAGAACATTGTAACAAAAAAAAATTCATATCTAGAACAAGTCTTGCGCGTGTAAACGACCTTGTTAACTCAACATGCAATCCATGCGAGTGCCATCGAGCCAATAGTAGAATAGCTGCATGATATTCATCAGCCAAAAAACAATTGTAAGAAAAAGAAACAATAAAAATTAATCAAAAAATCGAGCAGCAATAAAACAAGCATGGCACTACTACTCTTGAGAATTGAACTGACACACCCAAAGGAAAAAGTTTATGTAAGGGTGAGGCCCTAAACAATCAAATTAAGGTGCTCCTAAAAAAATCACTACAAAAGACCGTTTCAATGCCCAAAAATCCTCAAATCAATCATTTTGACCTCAAGATGTATGGACATGAGAAAAAATGGATTTCAAGTCTTGAAAATAGTGCATCATGTAATGCATTTTCTGGACCGTTAATTTTCAAGGTTTTCATGTGTTCATAGTGATCTACACTATTTTTGAAGCTTTAAATTTTATTATTAAATATAAAAATGAATTTTTAGGTCATCACAAAGATCTCTAGTATTGAAACATCTTTCGCCACTATTGAAGGTGCACCTTACTTTAATTGTTCAGGGCCTCAGCCTTATACGAACCACACCGCACACCAAAACTACTATGTTTCGAGAGCAAATGAGAAAACACACCTGGTCAATTTTGAATAGGCATTGTTTATGCACCAATATTGCAGTCCAAAGAATGCGCAAATGGCAGAGGAGTGTTCTTTTCTTTGTTTGAAAAAATTGTGGAGAGAGAGAGAGACGCAGCCAATTCTTGTCTTCACTAGCATGACGCTTCAATTGTTCAAGGTCTAAGATTGATCTCCTTGCATGCTTTAGTGTAACCGAAACTGATTCTTAGGACACATTTCAAAACATAACATCAACAAACTTCAAGATGAGAACCACAGTTATAACACCACCTTATGGGAAAGTATAGTTTAATCCTTATGGCCGCGTGCCATCAATTTCTGGTCATGAGGATTATCATGATGGAGCATGGAATCACGATGGAGACAGGGGGACCCACGATGGGAGTCAGGTGATGTTTTGCTGGGTCCTACTCTCTTTCCATCATTCCATAACCTATAGATTTGATGGTGAAGACCCTCATGATCAAACATTTCCTTTGGTCACGACCAATACAATATAACAGGTCACTGTTCTCCATCTAGAAGGTCCTCAACTCAGTGAAAAGCCTATATATATAACCTTTATACAACCTTTAATCCAAAATAATATAAAAACTAAAATTTGGCTCCCCCCAAGTAAACAAAGCATACCTTATAAAGGGCCGCTCAGCAGGAGCAACAGCAGTAGATTTATTTCTCAAGAGATTTTCTGACAAAAACGATGTAACCGAGTCAAAATACTTATAACTAGAAACGTCATATTCTTAGGAAAGCAAAAGCAAAGAGGAGCTTACACATCTCTAATTAGATGCTAGAGTAGATGGAAAGATGGGTGGAACAATAATAAAAACTTCTACAGTTGGAGAACATTTTTAGAAGGCCCACCTGAAGAAGGCGTATGCCGATAAATGATAAATTACACTATCAAGTAACATTTCCAGTCCAGCTACCTTATATAAAATCTCTGAGCAAACTCTTGTCCGAACTAACATAACAACCCAAATTACCGGCCCCCATGGAAACAAAACCTACCTTATTAAGGGCACGTTCAGCGGAAACAACAGAAGCATATTTATTACATGAACTTTTCTGAGGATAGCAATGAAACTGGAAAGTCAAAATACTTATAACTAGAAACATTACATTAGTAGAATGGGTGCTCATGCATCTCTAGTTAGATATAGTAAGATTAGGAAGTGGGTGGATCAGTATTAAAACTTCAAAAACTTCAATCGGAGAACCTTTTTGGAAGGTCCACCAGATGATGATGAACCACCATAAATGATAATTTCGCCATCAATAGTCCAGCCACTCTGAAATGCCAAGTCACATAATCATTTCATAAATTACTTCAGAGTAATTTTACTTTCACTTTGCCTTTTGGGAATCACAAACATAAACAAGAGAGCTCCATCAATGTGCCCAAAGTTAAGCGAGTTCTAAAGCCCTGCTTATGCCCTCACTTGAACATATGATCATTGAGAAATGCATTGCAGTCCTTAAAAGTGTCTAAGAAAGGATAAGCGCGCACACATCAACAGAAAGAAGACGATAGACTAATATAAACTCATACTACATTTATACAGAGAAGAAGATTTTCTATCATGAATTATAAAGGCACTGGCCCCTTAAGACTAACAGTTTGTATGTACTGTCAAGATTTCTGTAACTCAATTCATTTGAAATTTTTTATTAAATCTTAAATAATATGATATTAATGGAAGAGATTGATGCTTCTTTTTCCCCAAGAAACCTCAGTTGACGTTTTGTGCTTTCTATTTTATAGTTTCTCTCAGATATTTTATGGATCCTACAACTTTGATTTGACTCAATACAACCTAACTGACCAACAAGCTAGGATGGGCTCTTGATTTTGACAAGGTTCTTACAGCGTCCAAATTATTTCATGGAAAATCCAAGGACAAAACTCACCTAACAGAAAATAATGTAAATAAAATATCAGAACAACTTATGAGGCACAAGAGATCATGAGGACATTAAATGATAAATCATACATGAAGAATCCATGCTTCATCAATGAAAATTAAGAAAGGAAGTTTCACCTCAGAAATAAAAGAAAAAGAAAGAAAAAGGCAAAGAACAGATAAGGAGAAACGTACCTGAGCACAATGACCAAATATCTTATCTCTTATCTGCCCATGAGCGAGATCATTCTGCAGAAATGTAATATTCAACCTTACATCATCAGTTTCTAAACATCTTTCAATTTAGTACACATGATACATAAACTAAACACTACTCAACATTCAACTAAGCTTCGATGCATATACTTTTTAAATGGGGAAATATAGGTCCATACAAAACAATTCACAAGCACAAAATACAATTGAAACTAGAAGAAAAATTTAATCTTCTGTACTTAAATTATTTCAAAAATAAAAGTTATTGTTTACAAAGAGACCATTTATCTTTTGTACATGAAGGTCACAATCATTCCCACTCATTAGATATCAAATTGGATAGCTTGAAGTGAGTTACGAAGTCCGAGAATTTTTTTTTGAACTTTGTGTTTATTCAATGACACTCTTACAATCACCCTTTTTGAAATTTAAGGGACAAGCATGATTGTGACCTCCATGTACTAAAGATAAATGGTATCTTTGTATACAATCCCAAAACAAAAATAGGGAGTATGCAACAAGGGATGCAAATAGGTTGGGTTCTAGACTTGGCCCAGGGTGGACCGGATATAACCCAAACCCGGTCGAGTACAGGTCAAGTGGAACGTGGACCCAACCCGATGCGCTGGGTCACGTCTGATCAAAATAAATTAATATATAAGTGTATATATATATATATATATCCCAGGTCTGGTTAAGTCAGGTTGAGTTTGACCCAAACCCGAACCAACCAGATTAGGTTGGGGTGTAGCTGGTCCTGAACTCATACCCGATTGATCCAGGTCAAATGGACCTGGACCCAACCCTCCAGGTCCAATAGGCAGGTCTGGACCTGAGCCTGGTTCGAGTCAACCCTCTGGGTCAGTGGGAGGACGCCCTACCCAGTTCGTTAGCCCCAGGTGCAACAAAAAGATCAGATCGCAAACAATTTTATGGCACATAAAAAAGTATGGGATGCCACTCATCATATGGAAAACTATGTTCTTCTGATAAAAAGAAACACATGAATTCTTCGAAATGTTTCAACCAATGCACAACTTAGTGACATGGAAAAAAAGGGTATAGAGTAGACAACTCAGACTGTAAATACTGACTTTGATATAACACAAAATATTAGACCTTCTTGACATCAATTAATAGCAACTACATCAGCTGGAAAAGTCAACCAACATGCAAAATTGATTATTATGAGAAAAGTATGGGGAGCTTCTCAAATTTTGCATTTTTTGATTTTTTTAATCATTTGTACGTGTATATCTCTTTTTCAGGGCTGTTGTGGTTTCTAAGTCAGGATCATGAGACATGGTCCGAAGTGTCAGTGTCCATATAACACTTCAAAATAAGGATGTTTATAAGCATAGAACAAAGACTCTTTTTGACAAGTTGACTACCTTGAAAATAATTAGTTTGCATATCGCACAATTGCTAAGAGAGTTAGTGATACAAAGAACTCCCTGGGATCCCATTATATCAAGAAGTAAACAAAAAAGCTTATTATGGGACCATACCTGAATGCCATGCCAAGCACAATGCCATGCTGCCCTTGAAAATACAAGAGCTATCCCTTCCACCCATCTGCATGGAGACAGACAGCGAAAGCCGAAAATAAACAAAGATTACTTAGAAAACACTCATAAGTTCAAGTTCCTGTCTATTTTCAGATATCTTCAAAAATCATTCTATGAACATATTCACACATGTACAACCCCTAAGTATCAAAGAAACGATAAAAGAATATATTCATTAATTGAAATACCAAGAAATTGGCCACCATTTCCCAACATGAAGAAAATGAATGTAACACAGTGTTCAGAAAATCGACTTGGCCAAGGTGTTCGGGACCTGGCCGAGGCTAGTTACTCGGGCGAGTCCGAGTAACTTGCTCGAGTCCAACTCATTTTTATTTAAAGAAAATGAAGAAAAACAATGGTTATATATAATAAGAGCGCCATTTTTATCAACAAACTAGTAAACAGGCGTGCAAACTAGTAAAAAGGAGTGCCGGTTAGTACGTTGTCCATAAATGGACTTCTTTACAAGATGTCTCAAGATCCATTCTCGAGGGCAACAATTTTTTTGGAACTGTAAAAAAATGATGTCGATAACCATAAAGTGGTGGACATGGGGTCAAATCCCCAACTGGAAAAATTATTCATTAGAGCCAACCAGTAAACCATTTAAGCATATCTTATATAAAATTGAGGTAATAATATATTTTAAGTTAAAAACATGTTCTACAACCTACTCTCCAAAACTCACCTCGCCCATAGGGCGAGTCCGAGTTCCCTCGACCGAGTCTCAGAACATTGTGTAACACATTACAGAAAATGTAGGCAAATCAAAACCACAGGTGTTAACACTAGCGGAAAAAAGCAACATTGCACCATTGAATGCATGGGTCTCATGCTAGCATCTCAACAAACTGTATTCTCATGATGGGCGTACATTTGTCTGATTGGAAGAAGCCAAACGAATTTATTTCAGTAACCTCATTTGACCCAAACCATGGTCAAGCTAAACTATAGAATAAGAAGTCACAGAAATTTGTGGATCCCACTTGCCTGTGAACCATCCCAGGCATAATTTGGATGGTTCTTTGATCATGAAATTTGGATGTGCTTGGATCCAGAGTTGGCTGAGAAATTTCTAGCCCTTTTGATTTCATTATCTTCAAGTACCTAGGAAAAACAAATTGCTCAAAGGAATGGAAACCAAAATTTATTGGCTTTGAAATTAAATTGCACAAAATACAGGATAAAAATACAGATATCATAGATATGTGGGAATTATTTAAATCCAAATGTCTCAATAAATCAAAGTTTGCACCACCAACCCCTCAAAGTAGCTTCTACAAGCTACTTCAATTGTACTCATCATTGTCCCTTTCTTAATTCAATTCCTTCTAACATTTATAATTATTCAATCCTTTCATAGAGTCCTAGGCCCATGATTGGTACAGACAGAGGGATCAAGTTGAGATTAGAGATCATCCCTTTGCTGTGACAGTCAATGAGGTGGATTCTCCCAAAGATCTCAAAAAGACAGGCTTGACAAATGGGCCATATTGTCATATGAGTTCGAGCGGTAAGGGATAGAGAATTGATAAGGCCATTACAATTCCAAAATTGGTAGCTGAACTGGACAATTTACCAAGAGGAGATAAATTAGACCAATAAAATATTGCAATTCAAAAATTAGAAGTTTAACACCTCAATGACAGTAGTGAAAGTTGCATAAGAGATTCAATGTGGTTCTCAGAGGTGTCAAGGTGAGGCCCTTCGAAATGGCCTGCTTCATTTGCATGTACAGTGGATGCAGCGGAAAAACAATTGTTTTGTGCGGTTTAAGTCACTTGCTTTTAGTAAGAACATTGAAACTTTACACCACTCAATTATTCTTGAAAAGTAGAGATCAGGCAGTAATTGCCAAAAACAGAATAAGTTACCAGTGACACTTCGATGAAAAGAAACCCATGTCTTGCTGAAACAGAAATCCAGCATTTGAGCCATGTGAATTTTACATATGGAATGGCTTTACCTCTTATATTTCACCAAGGAAAACATTTACATACCTACGACAATCCAAAACAAAAGCTTCAAATCAATATGATACCTTCCAGGATGAAAATTATCTGCTATCAGATCCTTATCCCATATAAAAATGTAATCATAAGTTGAAATAACATCGGGGTGTAGAAAACGCTTTGCAAACCCCCTGCAGTAGAGTCCAAGAAGTGCATAAGGCCAAAAACCAAATCAGGGAAAAATAAGTCGACAATCACACAGAACTATTTCTATTGATTCGCTACCATGGCCAACTATGAATATAAACAAGACTGCCGCAAAACGAAAGCATCACCATGTTGTGTGATTGCGCGCACTTATATGAATTGCCTTCTGACTCCACTCGAGATCATGCCATTCATCAATAATGCCATCATAATGGAAGAGCAGAATCATGAAATTCTCTGAGAGAAACTGAGGCAATAGATGGTCAAATGAAGAAAAGAGCAAAGTTTCATTATGCCAAGAGTAAAACAAAATGTGACTAATACCTTCTGAACAATAGAATCCACATTTTCCTTCTGCCTGATGCTAACAGGTATAGCCAATAGGTTTCTATGTTTCTGATTGTAACCCTGCAATATAGACCATTCATCACTATCCCATCTAGTATCATATAATCCCACTCTTCTACTACCAAAGTATTAAGAACCAGAATAGCAAGTCGAGAGGTTCAAATCGTAGACATAAAAAATCACAAAGTACTCATAGATTGCTAAAATGGTCCTAAAAAGGCAATCAGGCTAAACTAACCTTAACTTTCAAGGATTTCATCATCCAAAGAGGTTTCAGCTCCATATTAGAAGTCGCTTGCACTATACCTTGTGGTAAAGAATCCTTTTTCCGAGGAAAACCCTCATGAGAATCCTTAAATGAAGTTTCCAAATCCTAGTTCATAATGCAAGAAACATTGTCTTCACATATATAAGCTTGAACCAACAAAGCAGGAGCAACCAAGAGATATTGAACAAGATCAGAGAGCTTGTCTTTTGAATTGCCAGCACACAATAGCAAGCAACTTCCAATCCATAGCCAATTCACATATATAGATATGTTTTTTGCCCTCTAAACTGAATATTGACTTCATGTAATAGAGAAACACCTCACCACTATCTATCCACAACAAGAAATTAACACACCTTCATTGAGTCAAAGGGATGTGATTTCTGATCCATCTGACAATGTTAGCAATCCCAATTAGTAAACTTAAGATAAATCAATTCATGATCACAAATGGTGACAATATCTGCAATAGACAATTCCATGGCACCTCTGTGTGTGCATGTTGTTCTTTCATGGTTATAGATATGACTAACACCATAAGTACGCAGAGTATTCCAACTAAACGCAAGCTTTTCATCTTAAACATGCAAATTCCCTGCAACACAAATCACATTTTGATCAGAGATCTCCATTATTTAAGTAGTTAAGAAGGAAAAGGTCATCACTAGTGACTGCAATATCACATATGATGGAAACAGAAATATCATTTTCTTTCCTCTGGAATACTATTGATATGTATAAGGAACGCATAGGTACACACGGTGGCGGGGCACCACAATGTTACATCTTGGCAATATCAAATATGATGGAAACAGAAATATCATTTTCTTCCACTGGAAAGAGCATTTATAGATGTAAGGAACGCACAATGTGACATCTTGGGTTCCATTCTTAACAGGTCCCAAGTTAACATCCCGGGAAAAAAAACAAAAAAAAGGGAAAATAAAAAGGACCATTGATGTATATAGCCAAAAAAAGAAAAGACCATTGATATTCATAAATTTACATACTCAGTGTTACAATTCACCACAATACTTACATATTCCCATAGAAAGTTCCAGCCTTTTGGTTGTGATTCATAGGAGTTTTTCATTGAACAAGCTCACAAGTCTCAGCTAACAACATACTCCAGCTCTGATGGATCAATAACTGAAACCAAATAATATTTTATAGAAGCACCGGACAGCATATAACTACAGATAAATTTGGAAAATTATACCCATTCTGCAACATAGTTATGAAAAGTGAATGAATAAAATTTCTGTAAAGAAGAGGCTAATGAAAGGTCTCAGCAATCAAGGGTATTCTTATAACCAATCTTAGAAAACACAAACTTGGATCAGAACCTGGAAGTCCTAAGACTGAGTTGTGTCTCACAGACATGACAGCATCTGTCAGAGACCCGGCCGAGTCTGCCCAAAAAAATAAATAATGGGAACCTGCCAAACTTAGTTGCTTCCCATCTATATGGTTCCCGACTTGGCAGCCTGGGTGACTTGCACAAGTTTGGGTGGACTCACCTGAGTTTTCATGGGTGGAGTCGCCTGAGTTTTCAAACACTGCTTTTTAACTGATTCTCCAGTTTATTGTTCCTATTATTTGAGTCACAATAAAACCTAGAATCATTTGCTCAAGAATGCAAAGCAAGACTATCAGTCTGAGTATCCACATCAGCAGATATATGATAATTTACTACCAAAAAAATGCAATAAAAAAGCTTAAATTACCAAAAACATGGGACGAATTGGTTTGACAAAAATCTCATAAAGAAGGAATTTAATCATGAAAGAGTAAATTAGAATACTTAAGAGATATTAAATTACAACCGCAACAGTATGTCCCAAGTTCAACTACAACTGATGAAGCTAGATCTCATTGGAAAATGAAACACAAACCAGGACAAAATGACGTAACCATCAAAACCTAAAACTTCATAAAGAAAATGGATGTTTGCAGGAAAATTGAAAACACTGGCACATATGCTCAAAACCAGTGAGTACAAGTGAAGAAAGAGTAAGTTCCAGCAAATGAAATAGCCCACTGGAGAAAAAGTCAATATAATTCATCTTACATGATGTAAAGCTAAAATAAAGAAGGTCAAGGTTCACTCAAATCATGAAGGGGAAATGACAAAACACCCACAAAAGTAAGCACAATACACAAGCACAAATTTAACAATAAAATCCCATCAAAACAACAAAAATTTTAACAATCAAAAGGCTACAGCGCCACTGAAGGTGAAAAAACTACAACAAAAACTTACAGACAGGGAAAGATTCCCCAAAAAACAACTAATATGAGAGTAGAACGCAGCTACAAACAATGAAAAAGGCAGAAATTACTGAAACTGAAAACCACCTCAACAATGAGCATGCTATAATACCAGTAGTTAATAAGCTGAAAATATTCAGAAACCATGCCATGGCAAAAAAATTGAATGTTTGAAAACAGCCCCTCAAATAGCAAAGAAAGAAGCCATGAAAAAACAGCCCCTCAAATAGCAAAGAAAGAAACCATGAAAGGCCTAAGAAGCAATGAAAATGGAACAGGTTCCCTCAAAGTCAAACCATGCCGGAAATGTAAAATCAACTGAAAACCACGACTCAAAGCGAAATTCACCCACAACCACGACGGAAATTTCCGGAAACCACTTCAAAATAACGAGAAGAACAACTGCAGGCGTAAGAAACCACCGCAATTACACAGATTAACGATGAGAGTCTACAAAATCAATGAAGAAAGAGGAAGGGACACAAAACTACCTCAAATGAACACAAATTTCTTGATCAGCCAAAACAACAAAGGTTTGGCGTCAAAAAGCTCAAACACAGTGAGAAAGCAGGGCGTTACAGGAAACCACACTGGACCATATTAACTCGCAATCGATGGAAAATCACAACCGAAATCATAAATCTCGAAAAACAAGGCCTAAGGAGAAAGAAAGTGAAGCTAAATTACCGTATAAGAAACGCAGAGCCTGTATAATAACAATAAATCAATTATTTCTTTTTATTTAGGAGAAAGTCTAAAATGGCGATGACTTGAGGGTCACAGAGGCCACATAGATAGTATCGAAACAAGAAGTTGTTTTAAACAAATGATGGAGTTTGAGAGAGAGAGTAGTGAACTTACAGAGAGGAAATGGTGGAAGTTAAAGAGAGAGAAAGGAGATATTCGAGGAGAGAGTTTAGATGAGAGAGAAACGAAAAGACAGAAAGAGTAAAGAATCCGTTTTGGAGAGTGAGAGAGAGAGAGAAGAGGGAGATTGCATGCAATAGGAGAAGGACGAGTAGCAATTTCCTGTGAAGCCGTATGCTCCCACTCCACTGATTTTAAACACGGCTCCTACGTTTCAATTTTCAGGCTCTAACCACCTTGACACCTGTGATAACTCACATTCTGTGAATGCCACCCTCGATTCCATGTACTTGGCACGTGTGCTGTTCTAACCCCATGATAATTACTCGACACTTGTGAGTGATAGGTAGGGTTTCAATTGTAGAATTTGTGGATAATTTATTGGAATAATTTGGCTAGGCTCCATCCCCACCGTTAATACTTGAAAATATTGGCATGATTTGGTTTAAGATTGCTCTAAAGTTGATTTTTTGTGAGGAAAAGTTTATATAGAGCAGAGGCTCTAAACAATCAAATTAGAGCCCATCTCAAAAATTTCAATAGAAGTGGTTGTTTTGATGACCAAATATCTTTAGATTGCTAATCTCGATGTCAAGATACATAAACATGAGAAAAAAAAAATAGATTTCAAGTTTTGGAATAATGCAACTTGTAATGCATTTTTGGACCATCATTTTTCAAGATTTCAACTTTTCAAAGATCCGCTCGATTTGCACAATTTTTTAAGCTTTAAATTTTATAATTAAATATAAAAATATATTTTAAGGCTATCACAAATATTTTTAGTACTGAAACTACATATCTCGACACTATTTGAAAGTACGTCTTCCTTTGATTATTTAGAGCCTCAGCATTGAACAAACCACACCCTTTATGTAATTTATTCTTTTTTTAAAAGTTGACTTCATTTCATGTAATTTCTGTATATGGTTTCTTAAAGAGGTATTGCATAAGGTTACAACATTAAACAATCAAATTAAGGTGCAGCTCTAAACTTTATCATGAGATGTAATTTTGATGTCGAAAATTCTTAGAATGGTACAAGAATCTATTTTTATCTCTACTTATAAACTTTTAAACACAAAATAGTTCAAATCAAACATATCTATAAACATATGAAAATCTTGAAAATGGACAATCCAAATAATTTGTTGTAAGATGTACTATTTTTAGGATTTGAAATATCGTTTCTTTCTCCATATCTATACATCTTGATGTTGAGATGATCAATTAAATGTTTTTTCAATATCAAAATAATCTTTTTGGAATTTTAGAGATGCACTTTAATTCTACATTTTAAGGCGTCGACCTTATATAGACTTTTTTCATCATATAGAGTCTGGGGTTTCCACATGGTTGCCACCTTAAACAATCAAAGTAACGCGCACCTCCAAATTTTGTCATGAGATGTAATTTTGGTGTCAAAATTCTTAAGATGGGGTGATAATCTATTTTTGTATCTAATTATAAAATTTCAAACACCAAAAATATTCAAACCAAGCAAATCTATAAACACATGAATATCTTGGAAATAGACGGTCCATATAATGTGGTGCAAGATGTACTATTTTATGACTTGAAATCTCTTTTTCTCTTCATATTTGTACATATCAATGTCAACATGATCAATGAGATGTTTTTCTAACATCAAAATAACCTTTTTCGAAAGATTTAGATGAGCACCTTAATTCTACATTATAAGTTGCTAACCTTGTATAAATCATATAACTGATTAGCATTACCGTAGCATAGGAATCTAGAGGACGGAAGTAAGAAAAGAAGAAGGAAATGCATAGGAATGGGTTTAGGGTAGGTTAAGGGATAGATGCCTTAAGATAATATCATCTCTCCATTCACAGTATTAACATATATATATAGTTGACCCCAATTAATTGAGAAAAGATTAAAAAAATGATGATGATACAACACCAACCAAAGAAAAGAAAAGGAATTGAATGATAAATCGTAAGGAGATGCAAGATCGTGAGAAAAGGATTTAAAAAAAAAAGAAGGAACAATGAAGAAAGGGTGTGGTTTAGATAGAGTCTAGGTTCTAAACAATCAAATTAGAGAATACCTTCAAATAGTGTCGAGCAATGTGGTTTCAATATTGGAAATCTTTGTGATAGCCTTAAAATATATTTTCATCTTTATTTATAAAGTTTAAAGCTCTAAAAATAATGTAGATCGGCAGATCTATAAAAACTTGAAAATCTTGAAAATTGACGGTCTAAAAATGTGTTATAAAATATACTATTTTCAAAACTTGAAGTCCATTTTTTTTTCTCATGTCCATGCATCTTGATGTCGAGATGATCAACTTGAGGACATTTGGGCATCAAAATAACTTTTCTAGTGAAATTTTTGAGGTAGGCTCTAATTTGATTGTTTAGAGCCTTGGCTCTAAATAAACTTTTCTCATGAATAAATATGAGAAAAAATATAAAAAGAAAGAAAATAATATTTTGTGGGAGAAATAGACAGCACCATTGACCTTGGTGAGGTGTTAGTTCAACCGCTTCAAGTTCTGCCCCAAAACAAAACCAAACTCACCTCCCCCAAAATCAACCTGTTGATTAACATTTAAATTTCAAAACAAATAAATAAATAATTCAACCTGTAGCATAGCGTCGTCACCACGTGTATATTTTTGACCTTTTTAATAGGTTTTATCTAACTCCCTCTTTCCAATTTCTTACCTTTGGATTTCAGTGTTATATCATGATGTTAACTTTGTTCATCCCCAAGAGTTCAAGGACCGTTATAATTGGCCATAACGGCAGTGTTTCAAGCAGTGATTTAAAAATCGAGACTCGTTCGAGTCTGCACGAGAATCGGTAGCCCCATGCCAATTATTTTATACTCGATAATGCCATGCCGATTACTTTATAAAAAACCGGGAATAGCACGGTTCTAGAACAAAATCGATGGTTCTGAACAGTGAACCGCCGGTATGACATCATACACGACGATCGATTCTCAATAATATATAGTGACACGTGGCAAACCTTCATCCCTAAACCGACGGTTCTGAACAGTGAACTGCCGGTATGACGTCATATCCCGTGCCGATTACTTTATAAAAAACAGGGAATTGCCCGGTTCTAGAACAAAACCGACGGTTCTGAACAGTGAACCACCGGTATGACGTCATATCCCGTGCCGATTACTTTATACTTGGTAAACCCCATGCCGATTACTTCATAAAAATCGGGAATAGCCTGGTTTTGCATATCCCGTGTCGATTACTTTAAACTTGGTAACCCCATGCCGATTACTTTATACTTGGTAGCCCCATGTCGATTACTTTATAAAAAACCGGGAATAGCCCGGTTCTATAACAAAACCGACGGTTCTGAATAGTGAACCGCTGGTATGACGTCATACACGACGATCGATTCTCAATAATATGTAGCGACCGGTATGATCGGTACCATAAACCTTCATCCCTGAACCGACGGTTCGAAACAGTGAACCGCCGGTATGATATCATACACGATGATCGATTCTCAATAATATGTAGTGACATGTTTATGGCAAACCTTCATCCCTGTTGGTGCGACATGTGGCGGCAAACCTTCAACCCGCCCACGATGCCCATGTGCTTTACGTGTGCACTACAATGCATGTGACAAAGCAATTTATATGCATAAATGTGACTCTCATTCTTCGATGTGGGATAATTCCCACAAACGGTGCATTAAATTAAGATAGTTGAATAAGTATTATTAATATGGTAACTTCATACAAATGTGGTAACGTGGCTTTATGGTTATCACTCCTACTTATCTCTTTGAAAAAAAGTAATTAAATTTTGTTGTAAAAAAAATAAGAGCTGAAAATAAAGTCGTTAAAAAAAAATTTATTTTTTGTTATAAAAAAAATAAGCAAAAAATAAAGTCGTTAAAAAAGAAGAAGACTTTATTCCATTTGAAATCTCACTCTTTCTACTAACAATCTCTTTTACTAAATTTACTCTAGAAATCTAAAAAATTAAAAATTTTGAAAAATTAAGGTGTTATTTCGAAAATTGGTACACATTCTAATAATTTCTATGTTGATAACCAAATATTTTATTTTATTTATTAATTTTTACAGTATAAATAATTTAATGTACTATTTTTTTTTACAGTTGTCGATAATACATTTTAAATTTGATGATATTATAAAATATTTTGGATTTGTTGTTATTTGTATAATAAAATAATTATAAAATATAAACCAACAATTTTAATTTCAGTATATAATATTATAGTTAGTTAGGTTGTAATAATTTTAGATTATAGTTAGTTAGGTTGTGATAATTTGGGTTTTTTTAACGGATTAGTGTTTGTCGTCAATTCGAGATTTTAGTGGCCATTTTTTCATCGATTTAATCTACTCTTTATTGTAGTCCATGTATGATTATATACTTTGTCTATGATAATTCTATGATTTTTCTTTTGTGTTATATAAATTTAATAGTTAACATAAGTTTATACAGGGAAAAAACATCTCAGTATTCACAAATTGATGAAAAAAATGAAAGTTAACAATGTAGTACCATCATTTTTTTATTGGATTTCTAAAAGACAATATTTATAATGAATTTTAATAATTTTTTTGAATTTTTCTTAAAACTTAATCTAACTGAATAAGCTACTTTCCAATCTGGATCGCTGATTCACCAATTTGAATGGATTTTTAGAGTGCCCGATTTAGGGCACGTATCCGTGTTTTAAACCAATAGTTTCGAGCAGTGTTTTAAAAATCGGCGAGTCGAACCGGACTCGCCCGGGTTCGACTCGGGATCCGACACAGCCCGTGTCTGTTCCGATACAAAACTGGGAACCGCCCGGTTCCCAAGAATAACCGCCGGTTCCAATCTGATTCTGTCCGGTTCTACCGGGTTCCCTCCTTGCACGGGTGCGACACGCACATATGAGGTTACCCTAATATTTCTACACAAACATTTTAACCTATATTACATAGGTATTTATATACCCAAGTGGAATACCCATCTTTCAATGTGGGATAATTCCTAAACATCATTAAATGAAAAGGGAATTTAAATATATTCTATTAATCATCAAGTTATAACCACATATGATGAGGTGGCGTGGTGGTTAAGACTTTCGTTTTTTCATGTGACTTCTTAAGGTCGAGTCCCCCCGTGGGCGTTATTTTTTTGTATTGTATAGTTTTTGGTGTATATATTGTATATAAATATTTTTGTAAATAATATAAAAATCATAAAAAAATGAAAAATAAAA